TGTCTCTCTCTCAAAATAAATAAATAAACTTTAAAAGAAAAAAAAGAAAAAAAGAAAAAGAAAGAAACCCAGACACTTGGACCCAGAGAGACATAATAAGAAAAAGGAACTGCAGTTCTGAGGAAAGTTCAGTCTAGAATACACATACTCTTCATGCAGGCAGCGGCTTCCAATGGATGGAAAACATCTGGAAAGAGCAACTGGGAAAAACTTGAGACTCTACCCTTTTTTAAATTTATTCCCGGCTTGGGCCCTTGATCCTGTTTCTTCCTGCTGCCTTCAAGACCCTGCTCTGTCAATTTTCACCTTCCTTTCACCTACTCAGTCTCCTCTTCTCAGCTGGCTCTTTCCACTCAGAAAAGAATAAAGTATTAAACATACTAACAGACATACTAATTACTAAAGGAACATGCCAATTAACATACATACTAACTGATAAAGGAACACACACACTAATAAAAAACTAATAAAAGAACTCACACACTAACTGAAAACTCCTTTCTCTTCTGTTTCCAATTTCTCAAAAGAGCAGACCATGCTAAGTGCTTTACCTCTTAGTTCCTGAACCCACTGTACTCTGGTTTCCATCTCCCACCATTCTCGGAAAGGTCATGAATCACCCTGTAACTGTCAATGATCTCTCCTCCCAAATCAGTCTCTCTTCACTTAGAGTCTATGAACTTGACAATATCTTTACCTCCCCAAACACTGCTCTAATCGCTTTCAGCGATCCTGCCTGCTGCCTAGATGAAGATATATACCCCCACCACAGCGTGCTGCTTTCCTTCTCATTTTATTTCCCCTGAAACAATTTGATCCTTCTCAGCTTTGTTTTCCATCTTTAAGGGACCAACTCCCCAAAACCTATTTTTCCACACTGACCTTGTTGATATACTCTAGAAAGATCACTTCCAATGACATGTTGGATGTACTGCCAACACTTCAAGCTCACTATCACATGTTCACTATCAAGTTCATTGTTTGCTCCTCCTACTGGACCTCAAAAAATCTCTTTCACAGAAATAACCCAGTACCTCCATGCTCTTTCCACTCCTGGCACTAAATTCATGTGTTAAATGGCTGCCATAAATACCTACAGCAGGGGTCTTAATCCAAATCTAATAACTACTGTGAGAGCTGCCACAAGTTCAGGCCTATGCTAACACCTACAACAAAAGGATTTCAAAATGTGTACCTTGCAACAGTGGTTAAAAACAACAACAAAAAATCCATCCCTCAAGTTTTTGCCTAAAGGAGCCCCATATGATTGAAGCAAGATGAGATAAGATTGTTTACATGAGGGCCACAGCCAGACGTAGAGAATAAAGGTCAAGATGGACTATGGTGGGGAAGGATGGGGAGGACACTTACAGCAAAGGAAATGTAGAAGCTTTCCAGAGAAGTAAGAGACCAAGAAAAAAGAACTGTGAAGAGCAGTGGAGTCATTTTAGGAAAAAATAAGTTGAATGATCCAAGAAGTCATAGACTGACAGCAGGTGAGGGGAAAGCAAAAACAAAATCTGACAGTGCTTTTTTAAATGGCCAGGCATTAAAAGAATCACTAAAAGAGATTCAGGAGGGTCAAAAGGGAACGACTTTAACCCAAAATTAAAAAGTGGACCAAGAACCAGAGAAAGGACAAAAGGAGTGAAAAATGTGAGGATCAGCACCGAAAACTTAAAATCAGCACCAAAAGTTTAATGAGACACAGAGCTATAGCTAGTGAGGATCCTAATAAACAAGTTGTATATATCTAGCAATGTTACATGGTGAGACAACATACATGGAATTTTTTTCAACATAATTTATACCCTAAGTAGTCCTTATACCACAGTCAAGTAGTTTATTCCTCTAGTTGGCCACACGAGGATATACTGGGTTGTGGGAGTACAAGGAGATTGGGAGGAGGTGGGAGAGACTACAAAGAAAAAAATGTCAGAGTCTTAAGGGTATAGACACAGATTTGGGGAAAGAACCCCATTTTCTCAGCAGTAATGACAGAAGAATTCAGCCACAAATTTCCCGGGAGACTAATTCCTGGGGACACTTTATTATATTCATTACAAACACAAAAAATATGAACTTACCCAGATAAGTAATGTTTTCAGCTAATTCACACCCATCAGCATCTTGGAAATATTTTACTGTTTCCTGGTTATTAGCACCCAGCACATATGTCTGAATAGGAGCTAGTGAGAGAAACAGACATGACACCATATAGTTACCAGATCTGATTTGGAATTTGAGAAGTATTTCCCCACAGAAAAAATAATCACAGCAAAAGTAAGGAGTCTGCAATCCTATCTGTGGAACATATCCTACCCAACCTGTGGCCTATTAGTGTCACTAGGTTGAGGAAGTGACATCTTAAAGAGAATGGTTAATGTAGAATAAGGAAAACACAAATCCCTAAAGAGCTTCATAAAAGAAAGAAAGAAAGAAAGAAAGAAAGAAAGAAAGAAAGAAAGAAAGAAAGAAAGAAAGAAAGAAAGAAAGAAACACTCAAACTAGAAAAAGGAAAGGACACATATGGTCCATTTCTTCAATTCCTGCCTTAGAAGAGAATTATTTCTTTAAACCAAATCCACCCAAACTCAAAATGTGAACATTTTAAAAAACTTTATTTTTATTTGAGAGACAGAGAGAGAGAGAGAGAGAGAGAGAGAGAGAGAGAGAGCATGCACAAGCAGGAGAGAGGGGCAGAGGGAGAGAGAGAGAGAGAGAGAATCTTTTCTCTTAAAAATATTTATTTCGATAGAGTATGCTGCATGCCTGCATGAGGAGAGGGGAGGGGAGGGGAGGGGAGGAGAGGAGAAGAGAGAGACAGAAAGAGAGAGAGAGAGAATCCAAAGTAGGCTCTGCACTGTAAGCCCAGAGCCTGACTTGGGGGCTCGATCTCATGAACTGTGAGAGCATGACCTGAGCTGAAATCAAGAGCGGGTCACTTAACCAACTGAGCCACCCATGCATCCCGAGAGAGAATCTTAAGTAGGTTCCATGCTCAGTGCGTAGTTTGACATGGGGCTCAATCCCACAACCCTGGGATCATGACCTGAGTCAAAATTAAGAGTTGGACACTCAAGTGACTGAGCCACCCAGGCGCCCCCAAAATGTGAACATTTAGATGCACAGGCATCCTTCCCAGCTCAACGTGGAGCTCAGAGGGAAATTCTTAAATAACTACTACATGTGAAAAACAACCCATCAAGAACTGTGTAACTTTGAAGCTTTGTTAGAACTCATTTGTTAAATAAAAATAATTTCTATACCTTTCTTGATGCCAGTTTTATACTCCTCCCATTCAGCATCTGGAGTGGAGCCAAAGAAATTTCCTACACACAACAGCAGCTAAAATGAGTTTTTTAAACAGATATATGAGATTTTTTTTATCAAATAGTACATAATTGATAGTTAACATAATTCAGCTAATTATCCTACTTAATGGCCTCACGCTAGGTTTTTTTTCCTTAATCAGTCTGCAGAATCTCAACACATAATTCTTTAGCAGCAATTGCAGAAGTTAATTTGAATCTATAAATTAATAAATTTTGGCTCACTGGCTATCAAATTCAAATTAGGGATGGGGAAGAGGGGGTCAGGGAAAGATGGAGAAATCTACTTCCACGAGTCTGTCTCCAAATACAAATTTTTAAGTATTAGATACCCTGGGAAGATACAGGGTACAAAAAACACATTTCTTGCCTGTTATCTTTACTCAATCTTTAACCCCATGAATAGATTATCGCCATACCCAGAATACTCTTCTGTATGCTAGGGGTCTGCAGTCTAGTTGGCAACCCCATGTAACATTTAGATAAGGCTCTTCGGTCTGTGAAGCATCTGCACATGTTATCTGACTTAATCCACACCATACACTCAGGAAATATATCTGCGATTCCCAAACCCAGTGATTAGAATCACCTAGGGACGTTTTGCTCGTCTGTTTTCAGTTTTGTGGATAGTAAGAAAGTAACAAGTATAAAAGTATAAAAAGTATTAAAGGGGGGGAGTATTAAAAAATTCAAAAAGTATAAAAAGGTAAAGAGGTCTCCCTTTCCCTATCATTCTGTAGCTACTAAGTTCCTGTGCTCACGAAAGGAACTCAATCTAACCAAAAAGGGAGAGTATGTGTTCAATCGAGAAATGAAAAAAGAAGCCCACACTTTATTTTACTATGTTTGACTATAACAGTAAAATTAGATTCAGTAAAAGGAAATGTCTTACGTCAAAGTTTCCACTTTTCTTCTGAATTGCTCGAACTCTATTGAATAAAACATCAAACTTTCCTTCAACATCTCCACAAGCCAAGCTGCAAACGAGACAAATGTTACGGCAATTGAGGAAACTTGAATGGGCCAGCTGGGTTTGTAACATGTTAGTCTTTCTGGATCAGGCAGATATGTGACCCAGTCTCTGGGTTACCAGAGGTTACCAGAGAGGTTCAGTGCATGTGAACTATTACTGACCAGTGGGCAGTTCCACCTAAAGGTCACCAAAACCTTCAACCCATCACATCTAAAAGTTAGCTTCACCTCCTCCAAAACTGAACCAGCTTCTTCTCCTCACTTCCCAAGCTTTGTGGATGGCTGTATCACCAACTGGGTCACCAAGAGTCACAAGTCCCCCATCCAGTCATCAAGTCTCATCAATTCCCTTTTCCAAACATCTTTCACATTCATTCCAGCTCTTCCTTTCCACTGTTACTATCAATCATCCATTCAACAACCATATACTGAACACCTGCAATATGCTAAGTGCAATATGCCCAGAACTGTGCTAAGATCATGTTAGGAGTACAAAGAGGAGAAAGACTCAGTTCAAACCTCAAAGTTGACAATCAGGGAAAGGGAGATACTCTGATACAAATTTGTATGAAAAAGGCTACAACAGGAGGCATGCATAAAGTGTTAAGGGGCAGAAAGGTAGAAAGTGGCAAGAGCTGAAGTTTATAAAGAAGAACTGGCCTTAAATTGTGACGTAACTTGTTCTATCATCTCATTTCTGAGTTTTTGTAATTCTGACTTAAGTTTTTCTATTTCTCATACCATTTTTTAATGCCTTTGAACTCATCCTGAAATACAGTTCTTATTGTTTTGTCAGTACGTCTTTCTGGTATGTCCATATCACTTAACATTTTTTTTTTTTTAGTTTATTTATATTTATTTTGAGAGCTGGAGAGCAAGCAGGGGAGGGGCAGAGACAGAGGGAGAGAATTCCACGCAGGCTCCATGATGTCAGCACAGAGCCCGATGCAGGGCTCAAGCCCACGAACTGTGAGATCATTACCTGAGCTGAAACTAAGAGTCGGACGCTTAACTGACTGAGGCATCCAGGCACCCCATCACTGAACGTTTTCAAGCTGGGTAATGACACGTTTCAGAAAGTTCATTTTAGTAACAGAGTGAAGGATGGTCTGGAGGAACAAGTGATTACAAGCAAGAATATCACCAAAAAGGGCAATACTCAATGAAGACGAAAAGGACAGAAACAGATGAAAAATTTAGAATTCTGAACACCTGAACACAATTTGAATGGTGAAGTAGGGTGGGAAATGAGGGAGGAAGAGGAATGCAGGACACTCCAAGGCAGAGCAACCAAGAGTCCTGTGATAGAAAAGAGGCAGAATCAGAGAGAGATCTAATGAATCTAGTACTGGATACAAAGTAAGTAGCATGCTTACGTTTATTTCCTCTAATGCCATCTCTTCTTCCTAACCAACCTATATAAAGCCAACAGTTTAATGTTCTTTCCTCAAAAACATTAAGAGAACCCCACTACCGGGGCCCTTTTCCAGTGTTTTCTATCCTGCTGAAGGGCAGAAATGTAGGACCTCACAGTGCCGACTCTTTCTCACAGCCAAACCTTCTCCAAACCCTGTTAATCTCATCTCCTTGATAAGCCTTGAATCCCTGCACTTTTCTTCTGCTACCACTCTAGCTAATCCTCGCTGTCTTCTTCTTCTTTGGCTCTGATTTGTTCTTACACTGCGGCCAGAATCGCTTTCCAAAACAAAAATATGATCCCGCCAAGGAGTTCTTAAACATTTCAATGACTTTAGGATAAAGACAAAAATATTAACCAACGCTCAATCCTCCCTCCCCTGATTCCTCACAATAAGCCAAATACCCCTATTATACTCCCTCCCATAACCGTGAAGTTTCTCTTCCTTTTATAGACCGTAATTATACATTAATCTGGATACTCTGATTAATATTAGCTCAAAACTCTAGGCTCCATTAAGGCAGGAACTCCATCTGTGCAACGTCTAGCACAGTGCCTGGCATACTGTAATTGTTCAATAAATATTTGTTGAGTGGATGAATGGATGGATGGATCGATGTACACTCTTCACCCCAGCGCCTCCTCGCAAAGAAGTGTGCCAGGGCACGAGCCCTATCTATCTAGTCTATTCGTAACTGACCAGGACCCACCGATGGGCCCCACGCCTAGGAGTTTTCGTTAATAAATGGGCTGTGGGGAGAAGTGAAGTGTAAATGTGTCAGAGGCCAGGGCGGCCTAAGATGGAGGAGACCTAACGCTGGCAGTTTCCGCCTCTCTTAGCCTGGGTCGCCAGGACAGCCTCCTCTCGGAAGCGAGGAGACCGGCCCCAGCCAGGCAAAGACGTGATCGGAGCTCACCAGCCGCCACCACCCTCCCACCCCCGCCTTTTCCTCCTCCCTTCCAGTCACGAGAAAGACCCAGGGAGCAGACGCGCGCGCGCGCACACACACACACACACACACACACACAGGCGCGCGCGCACGGCTCTGATCTGATCTGTGGTCACTCACAGGCGCAGCGGTTTCTGAGCCATTTGTGTCAACAGCCTGAGTCGGGGCGACCACCGAAAACGGACCCTGAACCCGTACTCCTCGAAAAACGCGGCGGCACAGCACTAAGACGTGGGCGCGCCCAGCCAATGAGGGTTCGCTTATCTACGGAGAGCGCCGAGGGACAGCAGTCTCTCCCAGTTGTCTGGGTCTCAGAGGAATCAAGGAAGGCGAGCAGTAAAGGAAGGAAGGGGATGTGACAAAAAGAATTACAATTGTTTGTTTGTTTGTTTGTTTGTTTGCTTTATTTTGGAGCAGTTGAAGTTATCGAGCTGCTAGAACGCTCCTGACATAAAATGGGCCCTAACCTAACCTAACCTAATCTAACCACGTTAGTCCAATGGGCAAGACAGACTGTTCATACACGCTTTTTTTGGTAAGAATAATGGCCATCACCTTGATGCAATAAGTGTCAACATGTTGCCACATTTTCTTCCTTCATCTCTCTCTCTCTCCCCTTCAAGGTGCACAAGCACTTTTATTCTCACTGAATCATTTGAAAGTAAATTGCAGACATCAAGAATATCTTAGCATGCATTTCCTAAGAAGGACATCCTCTATATCACCAAAATACCGTTAAGGCACCTAAGAAAATTAATTATTCAATAATATCATCTAATATTTAAAGTTGTCCATTCTCCACCCCCCCCTCCCCATTTTTTTTTAAATACCTGGGGCTTGTTTTCATTCAGGATACAATTAAGTTTCATACTTGTATTCAGTTCTCTCTAGTCTTTTAAAATCTACAATAGCCCACAGGCATTTTTGGTTGCTTTTCCTGACATTGCCATTTTGGGGGAGTTCAGTCCAATTTGTAGACAACAGTATATAAGAAAATGGAAGCAAAGGAGAGAGTTCCTGACAATCCAGGGGCACGAAAAGTTCAGCCAAGTAATTAAAAATTAACTAGAACATAAATTAGTTTAAGGAAGAACCACAAAGTTCTGGTTTTCCTCCCTTTGGAGGGATTTATTAAATTCCCTGGCTCATTAACTATTGACGCCCTGCTTTGATGGGACACTGAGCATGTGTCTTTTCTACTTTTGGGGTAATTCAGCACAATCCAGGAATAGAAATCAAGATTGAATCTAGAAGAAGAGTAGAATTTTGCCAAACACGGGCAGGTAATAACTTCAGAAAAGGAAACAAGAGTGAGATACGAAATTTCATCAGTGGAATTCTATATTATCTTTACACCTTTCTTGCAAATCTAAATCTACACTGAAATATAAAGTTTATGGAAAGAAAGCTCATCCATGGAGATTTAAGCTAGCTCCAGATAGCTGAATATAGTGTTAAGTATCAGAGTAATAGGAAATGAAATTGAAAAAAATGAAAGAAATAGGGGTCTTGATCCATGCTAAGAGGTCTGGCTATAGAATACACATTCTTCTCATGAGCATGGAACATTCCTCCAGGACAGATAATATGTTAGGCCACAAAACAAGTCTCAACAAATTCAAGTACAAATTATACCAAGTATCTTTTCCAATCACAATATGAAACTTGGGCACCTTGGTGGCTTAGTTGGTTAACTGTCCAACTCTTGATTTCAGCTCAGGTCATGATCTTGAGGTTAATGAGATCCAGCCCCACATTGGGCTCTGTGCTGACAGCATGGAGCCTACTTAGGATTCTCTATCTGTCCCTCCCCTGCTCATGCATGAGATCTCGCTCTCTCAAAATAAAAAAATACTTTTAATTAAATGATATGAAACTAAAATTAAATGAAAAATAAGGAAGAAAATTAGAAAGTTTAAAAAATACATGGAAATTAAACAGCACATTCCTGAACAACTAATAGACCAAAGAAGAAATCACAAGGAAAAATAAAACCTTGACACAAATTAAATGGAAACACAACACACCAAAACTTATGGAATGAAGCAAAAGCAGATCTAAGAGGAAAGTTGATAACTATAAATGTCTGTACTAAAAAGAAAGGTCTCAGGTAAACCATCTAATATTACACATTAAAGAATAGAAAAAGAAGAATAAGCTAAGCCTAAAGTAAGCAGCAGGCAGAAAAATAATAATTTATTAAAAGAAATAAAGAATAGGAAAGATCAATAGAAACTAAGAGTTGGTTTTTGAAAAAGATAAACAAAATTGACAAACCTTTACCTAGACTAGCCAAGAAAAAGAGGGGACTCAAATAAATAAAATTATCAATGAAAAGGGACACATTTCCACCAATACTATACAAATACAAAGGGGCATACCAGATACGTGAACAATTATATGCCAATAAATTGGACAAGCAAGCAGAAATGGATAAGTTTCTACAAACATAAAATTTACGACTCAATCAAGAAGAAATGGAGAATCTGAACAGGCCAATAATGAGTAAGGAGTTTGAATCAGTAATCAAACAACTCCCAATGAAGAAAATCCCAGGATTGCATTATTTCACTGGTGAATTCTACCAAACAGCTAAAGAAATAATGCAATATTTCTCAAACTCTTATAAAAAACTGAAGAGGAAGAAACACTCTCAGATTCACTATATGAGGTATTACCCAATACCAAAGCCAGGCAGATAAGGATACTGTAAGAAAACTACAAGCCAATATCCCTGATTAATAGAGATATAGAATTCTCAACAAAATACTGGCAAACTGAATTCAACAGCACATTAAAGGGATCATACACCATGATCAAATGGGACTTGTCCCTGAGATGTAAGGATTGTTCAACATACTGGAATCGATAAATGCAATAAACCCAATTAATAGAATGAAAGATAAAAATCATATGATCATCTCAATAGATGCAGGAAAAGCATTTAACAAAATTCAACATCCTTTCATGATTAAAAAACCTCTCAACAAATTGTGAATAGAAGGAATGTACCTCAATATAGTAAAGGTGATATATGACAAGCCCACAGCTAACATCATACTCAATGGTGAAAGGGTGAAGGCTTTTTCTCTAAGATCAGAAACAAGACAAGGGTGCCCACTCTTACCACTTCTATTCAACATAGTACCAGAAGTCCTAGCTGGAAAAATTAGGCAAGAAAAAGAAATTAAAGGCATCCAAATTGGAAAGGTAGAGGTAAAATTGTCTCTGTGTGCAGAAGAAATCATTTATAAAAAATCTTAAAAGACTCTAACAACAACAACAACAACAACAACAACAACAACAAAAACAGAGTAAATGAATTCAGTAAAGTTGCAGGACACAAATTCAATGTACAAAAATCAGTTGTGTGTGTATATACCAATAACAAACTATCTGAAAATGAAATAATCCTGTTTATAATAGCATCAAAAACAATAAGATACTTAGGAATAAATTCAACCAAAAAGATTACAGATCTGTATACTGAAAACCATAAGATACTGATGAAAGAAACTGAAGAAGATACAAGTGGAAATATATTTTGTGCTTATAGATTAGAAGAATTAATATTGTTAAAGTGTCCATACTGCCCAAAGCCATCTACATATTCAATGCAATCTCTACCAAAATCCAGCATTTTTCACAGAAATGGAAAACAATCCTAAAATTTGTATGGAACCACAAAAGACTGTGAATAGCCAAAACAATCTTGAGAAAGTAGAGTAAATCTTGAGGTATCACTCTTTCTGATTTTAAACTATGTTACAAAGCAGTATCAATCAAAACAGTATAATAGTGGGGGGGGGGGGAAGGCCAGTAGAGCAGAAACAAAAGCCCAGAAATAAACCCATGCATATAGAGTCAACTAATATGTGACAAAGGAGCCAAGAATATTCAATAGGATAGTCTCTTCCATAAATTGTATTGGGAAAACTGGATGTTCACATGTAAAAGAATGAAACTGGACCCCCTATCTTACACCACTCATAAGCGTTAATTTGAAATGGATTAAAGACTTAACTATAAGAAACTGAAACTGTAACACTCCTAAAAGAAATAGAAAGCACTTAGACATTCGTCTTGGCAATGATTTTTTGGATATGACACCAAAGCACAAGCAACAAAAACAAACATTACTAACTGGGACCACATCAAACTAAAAAATTTCTGCACAGCAAAAGGAATAATCAACAAAATGAAAACGCAATCTATAGAATGGTAGACAATATTTGCAAACCATCTATCTGATAAGGGGCAATAAACAAAATATATAAGGAACTCAAACAACTCAATAACAAAAAAGCAAATAATCTTATTTTCAAAATGGGCAAAGGTGGGGGGGGGAGGGTGCCTGGCTAGCTTAGTTGGTTAAGCGTCCAACTCTTGATCTCAGCTCAGGTCTTGATCTCATGGTCATGAGTTCAGGCCCTGTGTTGGGTTCCACGCTGGGCATGAAGCCTAGTTAACAAAATCATAATAACAAAAATAAAAATGGTCAAAGGACCTGAATAGACGTTTTTCCAAAGACATATCGATGGCCAATAGGTACATAAAAAGGTGCTCAACTTGACTAGTCATCAGGGAAATGCAAATCAAAAACACAATGAGGTATCACCTCACACCTGTTAGAATGGCTATTATTACAAAGGTAAGAGATAAGTGTTGGTGAGGATGTGGAGAAAAGGAAAACCTTGTGCACTGCCAGTGAGAATGCAAATTGGTACAGCCACTATGGAAAACAGCATGAAGCTTCTTCATGAAATTAGAACTACCATATGATCCAGCAATCCCACTTCTATGTATATATCCAAAGGAAATGAAATCACTATCTCAATGAGGTATCTGCACCCCTACATTCACTACAGCATTATTCATGATAGCCAATACATGAAAACAACCTAAGTGTCCAGTGATGGATAAATGAATAAAGAAACTGTAGTGTATATATTTACAATGAAAAAAAGAAGGAAATCCTGCCATTTGCGATAACATGGATGAAGCTTAAGGGCATTATGCTAAGTGAAGTAAGTCAGAGAAAGACAAATACTGTACAATCTCATATGTGAAATCTAAAAAAAACCAAACCCATAGAAACAGTAGATTGGTGGTTGCCAGGAGTTGGGGCAGTAGAGAAAATGGG